CGTGGCTTCATTGGGGGCTCGGCAACGTTTCTTTTTGAATGGTTTTGACTTAAGACGGGTGCAAGTTGTTAAGTTTATTGTGCTCTTTTCCCCGTGGATTTTATCGTTTCCCGAGGTTTTTAAAGAAGAGGTATCCGGAATGATCTAGGACAGTGATGGCTAATTTTTTTCTCATCGTGTGCCGGCACCCATAATGCAATGTGCGTCAGTGCATGCACGCATGACCCCATGCTCCCCATGCATGTGATGCGACCTCCCCTGCGCATGTCTCCCGCATATGCCCCGCGCATCCCAAAAATCAGCTGGCCCGGCGGGAGGCGCATGCGTGGTAGAGCTGAGCTGGGGATGGCTCGCGTGCCAGCTGTGGCACGCGTGCCATAGGTTCGCCATCGCGTATCTAGGGTCTCCTGCTTGAGCATGGGGTTGGGCTAGAAGACCTCTGAGGTCCCTTCCAACTCTTGGCTCAGAAGGACCATAATTCCATAGCAAGACCTGGTTATGGATATAATGTCCATGAGTCGTTCCCTTGTCCAGAAAACTCTCATCCCAGTTCAATCTGGACATGTTTCTGTTGTCGACGAATCCGCCATTGATAAAATGCAATTGTGACGTTTCCGCAGAAGTTTGCGAGATGGCCGAGAAGGGCCCAAGGTTGGAACCCAACCAGTTGTGAGTCCTCCTCGTCTTACGGCTTCTGCCTTCGTTCTTCTAAATCCAAAGAGAACATTCTGATCAATAAAAGCGGAATTAAAAGAGCCCCCAAAATGGCCAGGTGATTTGTTTTGAAGATAGCCAAAAAAGGATGCGCCACAAATGGAGTCAAATTAACATTCAAGACAGGTGGGATTATTTTTTTGGGCGGAGGAAAGGGGTTTTGGAGATCTGCGTGAGGTGATAATGTCAAAGGGGGAAATTGAAATAAATGCTGTAAATGTTCGGGGGAACCAATGAGACGGGTGGTCAGCTATGGTACGGAAATATATATATATATATATAAATAGACCAGAAGTGTATGGCTGTAATTAACCCAGATGGATATGATTTGCTTCCAGAGTCTTGTTGAGATACGTTTTCATGTCTGTGCGTAAAGACTACATTCTGTGATTGACAATTGGGAGAAAGCTGTGGTCAACAGGCACAATGCAAAAACTGTTGGGAACGTGAGGGAGTGTTTTTTTTTTTTTTCCTGTGCCTGGGAAAATATTTTTGTCAAAATCCTAATCCAATGAATCAAATTCAGGGCGCGCGGCACACAGCGGCTCGGCCGAGGGCGTGCCACTCAATCCTTGCTCTTCGGTTGTTGGGAAATGTGAAAAAGTAAGTGTGTTGTGGGTTTGTTGATTCCGAGAAATGCACAATAAAGCTATTAGGCTTGGACGAGGAAGGTTTGGGCAAATACGGAGTTGAAGAAGGTTGCTCAGTCCGGTTAGAATAGCAGATAAAGGACACAACAACATGAATGTTGTGCTTGTTAAAACGATTCATGAAGATGTGTGACGCTGCCTTGGTTATTTCATGATGATGATAATGGAGGAGGAGGTGGAGGAGGAGGAGGAGGAGGAGGAGGAGGAGGAGGAGGAGAAGAAGAAGAAGAAGAAGAAGAAGAAGAAGAAGAAGAAGAAGAAGAAGAGAAGAAGAAGAAAGAAGAAGAAGAAGAAGAAGAAGAAGAAGAAGAAGAAGAAGAAGAAGAAGAAGAAGAAGAAGAAGAAGAATGAAGAACGCCGGATCTGAAAATTAATGTATCAAGACGTAAGATAGCTTTAATGAAGTGAGCAATGCTGAGTGACGCCCCTACAATGCGGATGTTTATGCTATTAAGTATAGACATGAAGCTTGATTAGGAGTTGTAGTAGTAGTACTAGTACTCATGCAAATCTACTCTGGCTGAAAATCCTTTGGATGACCTGACTTCAATTCACGTCCTCCAAGATAACAAGAAAAACAGAACAAGGAAGTGGAATAACTGCCACACTTAGTTATGCCAATGGATTTTATGGGTGAGAGGTTTGCAAGCGACCTTTTGTAGTCCACCAGCAGCCTGCGGAGCTGGTAGCAGAGTTGGACAGTGAGGAGGCTGGGGAGGACAAGTCCTGGAGTCGGGGAAGGCCCGGACGAGGGCTCTGTGTCGGAGGCAGAGATGGGGCCAGGGCCATCTGGGAGCGATGCGCGGACTCCGAAGCCTCCAGAGGCGGATAGCAGAGAGGCAGAGGAACAGGAGGAGCCTGTTCCTAGTACACGCATGCGAAGAGCTGCCAGAAGGCAAGAGCAGCTAAAGCAAAAAGGACGACTCAGGAGTAAGGCCAGGAGATGATTGGTCCCTCTCAGAAGGCTTAAAAGAGCAGCAACGGCTCTTGGGATCTTTGTAGGAAAGAAACGTTGCTACATTTGTTTCTTGTCGGCGTCTCTCGCTTCTGAACTTTTGCCAAGAAAAGCCTTTGGCAGGGTGCCAAAATAGACAAAGGTTGGCGATAAGGCTGAAGGACTGTTTATGAAGAATTTG